ATATAGATAAAGAGATGGATGAAGTAATAGATGTGAATAAAGAGGTGGACGAAGTGATAGATGTGGATAAAGAGATAAACGAAGTAGTATATTTAGATAAAGAGATGGACGAAGTGATATATGTAGATAAAGAGATGAATGAAATAGTGAATGTGGATAAAGAGGTGGACAAAGTAGTAGATATAGATAAAGAGGTAGATAGAGTAGTGGGTGTGGATAAAGGGATGTTTGAAGTGGTAGATGTGAATAAAAGGATAGGCGAAGTGGTGGATGTAGATAAAGAGATGAACGAAGTGGCAAACAAAAGGATAGATAATGAAATATGTAAAATAGCCTATGAAAAGATGGATGAGACAGCAAATGAAATGGCAGTAGACTTAAGAGTTAATGAAAAAGAAAATACATCAACAAATATAAACATTTAGTTTATCACTCTATTTTAGCAAATAACTTTTAATAAAGTTTCTATAAAATAGATTTCTAAGCTATCTAAAAATAAGACGTTCGATAGAAGTTTATCTGAAGATAAAATTCGTCTAATTAAAAGACATAAATTTTTGACTTTGACTACTAACACTGACGTGAATATTCAGGTACTCAAAATATTTAATTTTTTAATAACAAATTTGATGTTTATTTTATTTTTACAATCTTTTAGAATAGAAACAACAATCAGACATCAATGTATAAAATCTACCGAGATGTAGCAATAAAGTTTCTTGAAAGATATCAAAGCCAGATGAAGTCGCAACTTGATAAGTGTAATAAAAAATTTGTAAATAAATATAACGTTGGAGATTTTGTCCAAATCAAGATTTCTGAGATTGACAGAACACATAACAATCGAAAAACACTCCCCTGCAAGATCCTTGAAGTTTTGAAAGATGACACATACAGAATTGGATGCAAATCGGGCCTTATTAGAGTTACTTATAATGTTAATGAATTACTTCCTTTGGGTCCCGATATATTTCCAGAATTAGATAATATTCCTTCAACGTTCATAAGTATTCACGAAGCATCCATCATGCAATCGTCATCACAATTGGGTAATATTAAATGTAATTGCAAAAATTCCTGTGATAAAAATCACTGTAAATATAAAAAAGTGAATGTACCTTGCGGTAGTAGTTGCTATCCTAAGAATCATAAGTGTAAAAACACTATGTAGGCTTTAGAGTAATAATTTTAATTTTCGTGGCATATGACCGCCTCTTCAGCTACTAAGTAAACTTTATCTTAAAACTACTTAAATTTCAAAATAACTTAATTTGAAAAATTGATTTAGAATTTTCTTTATTTTAATTTAGGTTGAATTGGAATTCCATATTAACTTGAGCGTGTTTTGGAATTCTATTACAACCTACATGTATTCGGAATCAACCTAAGTTGATTCCGAACCCATCATAATTCTGTTCTCACGTACGACATATATATTTAATTCTACGTCCAACTCTATATCTAATTCTATGTCTAATTCTATGTCTACTCAAATTTCTAATCTTTTACACTATACTGTTTTATACAATTATCATTCTTATAAGAGATTTTTGTAATTTTAATACACTTCATATATATAAACTTATCGTATCTTAAAAACACCTATAGTGATAATATTGATAAATTACATAGTTAATTAATATTATTCACATATTTTCGATTTTCTAAAAGATTTCTACACAGCACGTATAATAAAAACATATACAAACTAATTCCTTTCACCTACGCTATCGTTGTTAAACATTATTTTAAGTTTATTCGTTTTTTTTTGCTCAACAAACGAGATTTTGTCGACGCAGAAGTTATTAATTACTTATAACTTTGGCAGGTAAATTATAATATGAAGGTCGAGGGATTCAAAGGGATTCATCTGATATTATTATAGTACGGCACGAAAGCTTCAAGGTTACTTAGTGAACTTAAATCATTTTACAAGAAAGATCTACCCGAGCTTCCTAAAAAAGTATTGTAACACGTATAAAAAATTTTCTTTAACAATTGTGTAACAATCGGATCATCATTTCCATATTTGGGACGTTCTTACCTCGAGTGTCTATCTGAAACCAACCCGTGCTGATCCGGTACATTTTTCTTATAGTTATCATGGATTTGGTGGTAAATTAACAATTGCTACTTGGAAGTGTGGCAATTATCGGAAAAGTTCATGAATTAACGAGCATAGAACTCTAGTATAAGATACGGAAAATTTGAGAATAAAATATAAGCAACTTTACCGGTAACTTATGGTAACTTACTAGTAATTTACCACCAAATTTATAAATTACTGTAATTTTACAACTCTGGTTTATTCCACTGACTGTAGTCCAATGAATATTTTATATTCAATCTGTTAACATATTATATATTAAATAATAGCGGGTGTTGAGGAAATAAAACGCTTCCCTAACACAAAAGGACCATTCGTTCACAGTTTAAATGAAAATTTCAATAAACTTAAAGAATCAAAAAAAATCACTAATATTCATGATTGTCGGATTTTTGCTTCAATAATGAATAAAGAATTCAGAGGCATATTTTCTATACGTGTGGAATATGAAGATGAAGGTACACCATTAATTATTGCTCATCATATTACAAGTATACAGAACATGAAACTTCAGAACATACTTAAAAACTTAGCCAACAAAGATCTTAAAACTTAAGATTGGATGGATTATAGTGGGTTATCCAGAAGCTTTTGATTTCGATAATACTGAAATGATACTCAGAAGTAGGGAACATACTGTCTCAGAAAAGGAAACCGTCTTGTGGCCGAAGAAAGCCCAGGTTATTTATGTACATGTGTAATTGCTCCAAATAATGTATCTCAAACTGAGGAAACTAGTCAATCTACACAGGCTCGAGTAGTGTCAGATTCTAATCATGATCCGTATTACTCAATGTTAATTATTGGCACACATTTCGATCTAGATAAGGGCTCTGCATGTAGGGATGGACAAGTCCGGTCCAGTCCGTCCGGTCCTAAAAAGACCGGTCTATTAATGTTTTCAGTCCAGTCTCGGTCCCAATAACGGTCCTTAATTATTTAATCTTATTGGCTAGCGGA